CAGTAACGCTCCTTTGTGCATTTAGGAGCAGGAATCTGTCACTGAAGGAGCTGTCCAGTTCAGCACCAGCTTCATGCATGGGGTGGGAGACGTTGTCCAGCAATGATGTTATTTTAGCTGGAGTCTTTCTATCTCCCACCACCTGCACTGGGTTGAGGGGGCGTCCAAGCACAGAGCTGGCCTTCTTGATGATCTTATCTAGCTGCTGCTTCTCAGCTGATGATAAGCTGCTGCTCCAACACACAACACCATAGAAGATGGTGAAAAAGGGCTGAATAATTTTGCACGCCCACTTTTCAGTTTTTTATTTGTTAAAAAAGTTTGACGCATCCAATAAATTTCATTCCACTTCATGATTGTGTCCCACTTGTTGTTGATTCTTCACAAAAAAATTAAATTTAATATATTTATGTTTGATGCCTGAAATGTGACAAAAAGTTAAAAGTTCAAGGGGGCCGAATACTTTCACAAGGCACTGTATGTAGCCCACGTCATTGTCAGAACACCACCTGGACACCCAGCAGTTAAACAACAACATACGGCTAAACATGTCATCGCTGGTCAGGTTGGGGAGGGGGCCGGAGAAAACTACGGAGTCTGACGTGGTTTTAACAAAGTCACACACTGAAGCAACATTAATTTTAGTTCTCTCCGATTGGCGTAACCGGGTGTCATTACCGCCGATGTGAATAACAATCTTACTGTATTTAGCCTTACACTTAGTCAGCAGTTTCAAATAAGATTCTATGTCGCCCGCTCTGGCCCCCGAATGCATTTAACTATGGCCGCTGGAGTCCCTAAAGCCACGTTTCAGACTACGGAGCTGACAATAACCAGGGTCTGTTTCTCAGCGGGTCATTAAAGTGTCATTAAAGTTCTGCCTGTCCCCAAAATAATCGTGTTTATCTTAATTCGGCTCCCTGACTGGCCTTGACAGGGCATCTCATCTCAACCTGCCTGGAATGTTTTGTAAACCTGATGTTCAGCCCCTCCCTCCCCCCCTCCTGAGGAATTTCCATGGACTTTTCAGAGGAGTCCAGCTGAATAAACATTCTGTCATGATTTCAGGACTCTGGATTTGTCTCTGGTCGTCCTCGGCACACCACGAGTGTGCACAGATCTCTCCAAAGGGAACTATTTGAATTGAGTGATTTGATCTGAACTCTGCAGTGCCTCTCTGTGTTGTCTTTGGCTGCTCACCGCCCTTGCGTCCCCCCCCCCCCCTCGCGTAATGTCGGCGTTATTATGTGCTAGTGTGTGTCTGGATTTTTTTTTTGTCTCCAAACCATATGTGTCATTTTCCACTACTTTTTATTGTCTGTCCAAACAGGTCTCACTTGTAAATGAGTCTTCGAGGCTCAATGTGACTTATCTGGTTAAATAAAGGTTGAATGAATGAATGAAGGAATCATGGAGACGGCTACCATGACAGGCCAGAGCTTGAGCCCGAGGTTGGAGGGGGGGCTGGGAACTTGAACCACAATAGCAGGATGGCATAATGGCATGATGGCAAGGCAGCAACACACAAAACTCCACAAGTGTGTTGCGGTCATACCCGTAGCGTGGGTGTGCAGTGTAGGCGCAAAAAAAGGTTAAAACGAGAACAAAAAAAGATCAAGTCGAAGCAGAGCTCCCATCAATGTGGCCATGCTGTGGCGCTCGTGATGTCACTAGATGGAAATGCACAGAGGCTGCAGCTTTGTGTGAAGTGCTGCCATTTTCACTTGAATAAGAAAAGGAAATAAAAACATGAGGAAAGAAGGTATAAAAAAAGATCTCTCACACTCTGTCCTTGACACACGGGGCACAGTGTAAGGTAGCAAAAACTACCCCAGCACAAGCAACATAGATATAATACAATGATGGTCAATGAGGTCATTTGGACAGTTTCTTTTTTGTGGAAAGACGTTTCACCCTCTATCTGGAGGACTTCATCAGTCTGTGGAGCAAATCACCAGCAAACTGGTCGGTCCACTAAAGGAGTCTACTGCTTATTGGGGAAAACAGTTTACCATATTTTCATTGTATAAGTCGTAGTGTTTTGCCTAATTTGCATGTCCTACGACTTATACGGTGAAGCGATGTATTTATGGATTTTTTCCCATATTTTTAGACCAATTTTTGTCCGAGATATGAACGTTTCCATTCATTCTGACTGAAAAAAAAAAAGGTGCATTTTCGGTCACTAGGGGCGCTAGAGGGCCCTCTAGGCTTTTGACGACTACCGGTATACCTGTAGGCATACCCCATTATTTGTTTATTCCAGAACCACTAAAATCCCATCAGCCCGTGCCAAAAACGTCTCAATGAGTAGGAGGAAAGAGAGGACAACACAACAACAATAGAGAAAATGCCGCCAAAGAGAAAGAGAAATTCATATTCTGCTGAGTTCAAGCTGCAGGTGATAAAGTTTGCAGCTGAACACGGGAACCGTGAAGTAGATCGCAGGTTCGGGGTGAGTGAAAAGCTTGTTAGAGATTGGAGGAAGGCAGAGGTCACCCTAACGGCCATGAAGCGTTCGAAGAGGGCGAACCGCGGGAGTAAGGCGAAGTGGCCAGCTTTGGAGGAAAAGGTGAAGACGTGGGTGCTGGAGGAGCGAGCTTCTGGCAGAGGGCTGTCGACGGTGCAGCTACGTCTCCATGCCATGGCGGTTGCCAAGGAGCTGGACATCACAGAGTTTGCGGGTGGACCATCGTGGTGTTTCAGATTCATTCGCTGGAACCGTCTCCATCAGAGCGCGGACCTCCATGTGCCAAAAGCAGCCGGCTGATTTTACAGAAAAGGTTGAGCGTTTCCGCGCCTTTGTGGAAAGGCAGGTGCAGGAGCACAGCATCTCGCCTGACCACATTATTAATATGGATGAAGTTCCATTAACTTTTGATATCCCAATGGGATGGAGTGTGGCACAGAAAGGGAAAAAAAGCATGACCATCCTCACCATGAGTCACCAAAAGTCCCACTTCGCTGGCATGCTGCACGGAAGGATCAAAGCTGCCGCCCATGGTGATTTTTAAGTGATTTCTAAGAATTGCAGGCCACTTGCAGGTCCTGGGACTCACTGGCGGGAAGGAATCGACCTTGGAGAAGGCAACAAGCTCGGTATGGCGGTGTGACCACAAAATTTGGCTGTTTGGAAACGCCAGTGAGACATGCCAGTAGAACTACGAAGACAGACATGGAAATTCAAGCAGAGGCTGCCTGACCCAAAATAATTATCTGAATTTGTGCCCCCACTCTGCCATAAATTGGCCAGCTATCTCAACTTCTCCTGGTTGTCTATGTAAACAAGAAGCTCCCACCCCCCTCCCCTATTGCTCTCCTCCCAAGGACACTTGTGGATCTGTGTCAGAGTTGAGCAGACTGATAGACAGTAGCTATGTTTACATGCGCAGAATTCTTTGACCGGATTTAAATGTGTTCTGTTTGAATAATTCAAATGTGTTGTTTACATGGGCACAATCTGTTCATGATGAGCGTTTACATGCAGCGGGCTTTGTTCTGAACAGCAGTACTGACATGCGCAGAGTGGTAAACTCTCCTTAAAAAAACCACCGAAGAAGAAGTTCTACTTCCGGGTGAACGTAAACAAACCTGAGCACCCAAAATGGACCTGCGACAGGTTTTAATGATGGTGGAGACGTTATTGCACTCCCTGACTGAGCTACAGGTGATACACATCATTTTGAGCTCTTTCAAAGTTTCTAGTAGAAATGTGTCGCTCACCGACCAGTTTTGCTTCCCTGACATGCTAATATTATTAGCGTTAGCCAGGCGGAAATGGCAAAGTCGCACATGCGCAGTCAGGTTAGTTTTTCACCATCAGATAAAAACAAACAGATCGTGTTTACATGCGCACCGATCGGGTTTCGGATCGGCGTAAACCACCCGTTTCGTTCTGATCACAAATTATAACGGATCGCGCCGAATACACAAAAAATAACCCGAACGGAGTGTTTACATGACACACTTTTATTCTGACCGGCCATTTGATCCGGTTACTTATGTCCATGTAAACATACCCACTGTGCCATCGTTATCAGGACCATGGAGCTTTCTGGCAGTCTCCACGGATAACTCACTGCCCTTGTTGGCCTCCTCATGCATAAATGTATTATGATGTCATCAGTATGTTGCTGTTTCATGTGCTGAGGTGATTTCTTTTCTTTTTTTGCAACTTTCACACTGTGTTCCGTCTAGGACAAAGTGTAGGATATGATATTTTTTACACCTACACTCTCCCTTGTGTTTCTTTTTCCTTGTCTGAAAAAAAGGGCTGCACCTCTCGAGGGCGGCAGCCTCAATCACCTCCGTCTCCCCTTGTTTGTTTATTTATGTTTCTCTCGGATGGGCTGTACTGAAATGTAATTTTGCGGCGCTTTGGTGCAATGACAATAAAGCTGATTCTGAATTAGTTTATCAAGGAAGAAATAGTCAATTCAAGAGTATATCTTTTGAAATGAAGAAAAAATTAGTATGATCTTGTAGTAGAATTATGGATGAGCCACACATCAGCCACGCCATAAGATTTAAGGAATGAGATATCAGCTATGGTTGATCCACTCTGAGAAGGTGCTATTTATAAGACTGAGCTGAATACAGCACCTCAGACTGAAGAAGTCTTTCAGATGATAGACAAAACTTTTCTACATGTTTTTGTTTAGCTTTGTTTTGTTTTTTGAATGTCCAGAGGACCAGACTTAACTTGTTTAGATTAGTCAGGGTAGTTTTTTCCATCTAACATGGTTCAGAGATGCAAGCACACAATTTGCATCACCAAGTAAGGTTATATGTTGATATATTCTGTATGTTTGGAAAGGGGTTATTAAAACATGTAGAGTCATCCCAGTTGGGAGCATACACCGAAACTAAGATCACTGGCAGTGAGTACAACTTCTCCACCACTATAATATACCACCTGTCTGTGTCAATATGTAGTTTGTTCATTTTCTGAAGCATTACATCGTCAGGATGGTTCTCATCTTTGGTTTTCTTCTCCACAGGGAGGGTTCTGGTTCTGGCACCTTCTGAAGACAAATGGACCGACAGAGTCCTGGGCATTACGCACTTTACTCTGATGGAAAATTTTCACTTTTAATGGCTTTACGAATATATCATTCTAATGTTGGAGAAATGTGAGAGGGGTTATCAGATTAGAACTGAACCTGGGGATGTTTCTTTAATTATTATTTTTTTAAGCTGTAAGACAAACTTGTAAAAACTGATTACTGTCATGAGAGTTAATAGTTTGAACGATAAATGACGTTTGATGATAATTAAAAGTAAAAGTAATTTGTGCTGCTAAATGAAAGTCCTGATGTTTTGGGGAAAATTATGCTGTTTTACTTGAAACTCTGAATATTTTTGAGTTTTGTCAGTTTTATTTAATTTATTCTGTTGATGTGACTGAACTGCTTTCCTGTAAGGGTACCTGTAATTTATTCTCACTTCTCCTTTTCTAAATAAAACTATTTTTAAATCCAGCAATGCATTTATTTTTATGTAATATGAATTAGCAGAAGTATCATTGGATTTGATTATCACACAGAGTTAGCGCCGTCACTGTTTTCCTGTTTAAAGTTTCTTCCATACATGGTTTTTGTCTCTGAACTACCTGGTTATTTTTGTATGAAAACATTGGGCTCATTCAGGGCACGAGTTTTATGAGTTTTGTTATTTTGTAACTTTATACTTTTCAAAATATTTCAGTTTCTTTAAAAGAATATACCGAAGTCTCTTCACTTCCTTCAACAAGGAACCTCACTCTGTTTTGGTCTTTTTCTTGTACTTTAATGTACTTTGATCCTTTGAAAGTGTCCGGATGTCCTGACTGAAAATTGTTGGATTATTGAGCATGGACTTTTTTGGGTTTGATTCTTTGAGTTTTTACTTGTGTTTTTGCCAATTGTACCATTTAAGTATGTGTTTAGCTAACTTTTACCTATGATTAAGAACATTTTAGCTAGGCGTGTCCCGATACCAGTTTTCATTAAACCGAGTACGGGTATTTCAGTTTGTGTACTTGCCGATACTGAGTACCAATACCAAGTACTTAATGAGTTAGAACATGAACATTACACAATGACTTAAGGACACTTTTCTTTTATTTAGAACAAGGTGGCTCTCCTTACTTAGAGGCCTACAGTCCAGAGGTGGGGACTCGAATCACAAGACTTGGACTCGAGTCTGACTCGAGTCATTAATGTTAAGACTTTAGACTTGACTTGAAAAAATGTTCAGAGACTTGTGACGACTTTGACTTGAACCTGTTAACTTGAAAAGACTTGATATTTTACCCTAAATCTAAAGTTTAAAACACATTAATAATGTGTTGATTTTCACTCATTCGTATTAACAGACACAGACCGTCCCTCTCAGCGCCATAGAGAGAGTTGCGACACTCTTTGAACTCACCGATACGCAGTCACGTGTTTCAGAAGCAGAAGCAGAATCAGTTTATTATCGCCATGTCAATGAACGAGGTTCACAAACTAGGAATTTGCTTCGACATAAGGTGCGAATAGTAATAAAGTAAAATAAAGTAAAAATTAAGTAAAAATGAGAACATTACATAAGACATAAGACCTGTGTACACCCACAAATAAAGTAAAATTAAAAACATAACATAACCATATGTACACCCATACAATAGAAAACAATAAAAAGCTTAGAAAACAGTACAGATGGAGTATTCAATTATAATACAGATGTAATGTGACCAAAGCAGAAATTATGAGGTAGCATTATGAGTGTTCAGGAGTCCAACAGCAGAGGGGAAGAAACTGTTCTTATGGCGGGAGGTTCTGGTCCGAATGGACCGAAGCCTCCTGCCTGAGGGGAGTGGTTCAAACAGTCCGTGTGCAGGGTGAGCAGGGTCAGCTGTGATCCGACCTGCTCGCCTCACAGTCCTGGAGACGTACAGGTCGTGGAGGGATGGAAGGCTGCAGCCGATCACCTTCTCAGCTGAGCGCACAACGCGCTGCAGTCTGAGTCTGTCCCTGGCAGTGGCCCCGGCGTACCACACCGTGATGGAGGAGCTGAGGATGGACTCGATGATGGCCGTGTAGAACTGCACCATCAGCTTGGCCGGCAGCTTGGCCTTCTTCAGCTGTCGCAGGAAGTACAGTCTCTGCTGGGCCTTCTTGATGAGGGAGCTGATGGTCGGCTCCCACTTGAGGTCCTGGGTGATGGTGGTGCCGAGGAACCGATAAGAATTTGCAGTGGTGATGGGGGTATCATTACAGGTGGGGGGGGGGGGGGGC